TGAACACTGACATCTGTTTGGTCTGCACCTGACAGCTCTGCAAACTGCTGCACTTCTTGTTGCCATCAAAGCAGCCAGCTGATGTCAATAGTTCAATAAGCAGAGGCAAGTTAAAAAACAATAATGGTGATGGGTGACATATTTCCATTAATGTACTAGATATGCACACAGATACATCACTAGATACCAGCTGCCAAAACAATGCAGCGTTATCTACAGCGCAGGGAAAGGCACTAGAAACAAGCGAGAAAGTGAGAGGAAATAGAACAGTGGGCAATGCAATAACATATTTATTTTTTCAATGCTGGGTCAGCTCGCAGCTCATTCGCACAAAGCACTGATAGACCAAACACACCTCTTTTGCCCAGACTTTCCACATCCGTAGTTTAGCTGCTACCAGGAGGGTTGCATTTCCCCATAATGTGGCCTCTGTATAATCACTGCATTAAGTCCGGTTCCAGCAAGGTCATTCCACACCTGGCTACTCATATTAGGTAAGCGTTAGTAACAATCGCCAGGCAGCTTCAAAGTCAGCCCCCCCCCACATCTTTTGGTAAACAAACATTTAAACTTAACAGAGACCATTTAAACAGTATTTGAAAAAAGTTTAAACCAAAACAAGCTGGTGGTAAATCTACCACTATGTCCCCTTACGCGCACATGGACACACAAACCCTCTCTTTTCCCTGTGCTTGTCTATTACAGATGATTTCTCTGTCTCTATGTGTCCAAAACCTCCCTTGTGGCTATAAAATGTGGCATGTGTGATTTTTTTCTTCAGACCTACAGTGTCACTCAGCCCTTTTCCAAACACTTGTTAGCAAAATAAAGTCTGGGATTCGGAACAGCATTCTAGTCCTTTGATTAATGGTTGACTGGTCTCCTCATTTTCTGGTAAAATAGGAACTCTATAGTCTGTATCCAAAGTGGTACAGATATTAAGAACCAGTCCTGACAGTGCACACAGTTCTTGGTTCTATGTTGATCAGCCATTGCATACAGAAAGCTGTCTTTGACTCTTTTATTTATAACCTCCCCGCTGTCCCAAGATTTGATTGGCTCAGTTCTCAGGCAGTGGATGTCTGGGTTGGAGGCAAGGCTGTCTGTCCTTCACTGAAGCTCTAGTAATTACCACACCCTTTTTCTGGATAAGTCTGGAGCCTTTTAACTGAGTTGGCCTGCTCTGCTCTCTGCACATTTGCAGAGCCACAGATGCTTTCAGCAAAAATCCTTGCCACCTCCCCACTGCTTCGCTCGCCATCTTTGGAATTAAATAAAATACTTGTTATCCCTTTTGACCCGGGCAATTACCCAATACTTGGAGTCTAGTGGATTGTTTCCATTAGGACGAGAAATTGCTGACTGAACTAGATGTTTCTTTGACACAATCTTATTTACAAAAGAATATACACAAAAATCCTGTTTCCCTGAACATAGCAGGAATCAAACAACAGGACAAGCTTCTTTGCTCACAGTTCCAAGCCTCTTTCCAGATAGCACTCTGTGCAAAAGCGCGCACTCTCTCTCAGCTTTTCTCATTTTCATAGAATCACAGGACTGGAAGGGACCTTGAGAGCTCATCTAGGCCTGTCCCTTGCGCTCTTGGCAGGACTAAGTATTATCTAGACCATTCCTGACAGGTGTTTGTCTAACCTGCTCTTAAAAATCTCCAATGATGGGGATTCCACAACATCCCTAGGCAATATTATTCCAGTGCTTAACCACTCTGATAGTTAATAAGTTTTTCCTAATGTCCAACCAAAACCTCCCTTGCTGCAATTTAAGCTCATTGCTTCTTGTCCTACCCTCAGAGGTTAAGGAGAACAATTTTTCTCCCTCCCCCTTGTAACAACCTTTTATGTACTTGAAAACTGTTGTGTCCCCTCTCAGTCTTCTCGTCTCCAGACTAGACCAATCCATTTTTTTCAATATTCCCTTGTAGGTCATGTTGTCTAGACCTTTAATCATTTTTGTTGCTCTTCTTTGGACTTTCTCCAATTTGTCCACATCTTTCCTGAAATGTGATGCCCAGAACTGGACACAATACTCCAGTTGAGGCATAATCAGCATGGAGTAGAGTGGAAGAATTACTTCTCGTGCCTTGCTTACAACACTCCTGCTAATACATTCCAGAATGTTTGCTTTTTTTGCAACAGGGTTACACTGTTCACTCATATTTAGATTGTGATCTACTATGACCCCCAGATCCCTTTCACAGTACTCCTTCCTAGGCAGTCATTTCCCATTTTGTATGCATGCAACTGATTGTTCCTTCCTGAGTGGAGTACTGTACTTTGCATTTGTCCTTGATGAATTTCATCCTATTTACTTCAGATGCTTTCTCCAGTTGTCCAGATCATTTTGAATTTGAATCCTATCCTCCAAAGCGCTTGTGTCATAAATATAAAGGGAAGGGTAAACACCTTTAAATTCCTCCTGGCCAAAGGAAAAACCCTTTCACCTGTAAAGGGTTAAGAAGCGAAGACAACCTTGCTGGCACCTGACCAAAATGACCAATGAGACAAGATACTTTCAAAGCTGGGGGGGGAACAAAGGGTTCTCTCTGTCTGTGTGTTGCTTTTGCCGGGACCAGAGCAGGAATGCAGGTCAGAACTCCTGGAAAGAATTAATAAGCAATCTAGTTAGATATGCGTTAGATTCTGTTTTGTTTAAATGGCTGATAAGTTGTGCTGGAAGGAATGTATATTCCTGTTTTTGTGTCTTTTTGTAACTTAAGGTTTTGCCTAGAGGGCTTCTCTATGTTTTGAATCTGATTACCTTGTAAGGTATTTACCATCCTGATTTTACAGAGGTGATTCTTTTACTTTTTCTTCAATTAAAATTCTTCTTTTAAGAACCTGATTGCTTTTTCATTGTTCTTAAGATCCAAGGGTTTAGGTCTGTGTTCACCTATGCAAATTGGTGAGGATTTTTATCAAGCCTTCCCCAGGAAAGGGGGTGTAGGACTTGGGGGGATATTGGGGGGAAAGATGTTTCCAAGCAGGCTCTTTCCCTGTTATATATTTGTTAGACACTTGGTGGTGCCAGCAATAAAGTCCAAGGGAAAAAGATAAAATAGTTTGTACCTTGGGGAAGTTTTAACCTAAGCTAGTAAAAATAAGCTTAGGGGGTTTTTCATGCAGGTCCCCACATCTGTACCCTAGAGTTCAGAGCGGGGAAGGGACCTTGACAGCTTGCAACCCCTCCCAGCTTGGTATCATCGGCAAACTTTAGAAGTGTACTCTCTATGCTATTATCTAAATCATTGATGAAGATATCGAACAGAACCAGACCCAGAACTGATCCCTGCAGGACCCCACTCAATATGTCCTTCCAACTTGACTGTGAACCATTGATAACTGTTTTCTGGGAATGATTTTCTGACCCGTTACGCACTCACCTTATAGTAGCTCCAGCTAGGTTGCCTTTGTTTATGAGAATGTCATGCGAGACAGCATCAAACAATCATGCTATAAGTGTGTCACTGGGGCTTCTTTGTGTGTTTCTGCTGCTTCTCTCTCTCACACACAGAGCTCTGTCAAACACTACCCAATGCCTGCATTTACCCCCCAATGAAACAGAGCACACCTTGCTGACCAGGCTCGCGTGTGACCTGTGTTTTAGGTGGTGGCGCCTATTTATTCCATAAATGAGCTAAATTCCTTTTTACAGGTATCCAGTTACATCCAGCGGCTTCGGTGAGGTTTCACTCAACCCCCAGCATAACATGCGGCCTTATGTGGTGTGTGGATTACATTATTATTCTGGTCTGGTATCTTTGTACGTGCGGTTTGTGCAGGAGTAAGTGCCAACACAAAGACTCTGTGTATTTCTCTCCAAAAGTCCTGAAAAGCTAGAATTCTGGCGAGCGCTTCAGCAAGGAGTTAAGCTGAGGTGTAGAAAAGGGGATGGTAATCATAGCTATACAGCATTTACTCCCATCACTTGTTACAATAACGCATCTGGGCTCTCTTTGGTATGCTCCATTGCCTGCCTTGAATGGCTGTGTTCTGCATGGGGAGCTGTGTGTGCATTATGATGGGCAGAGGTGTGACTGCTATGTCCTTCACACTGACGCTGGCAGGAGTCAGCAGCTCCCCACAGCCTCTACCTGATCACCCACGCCCCAAGAAACCCAGGATCTAGTAGGATGGGGATCATCACCACTGGAAGTCAGTGCTCATGGAGGCTGGAGGTTATTATTTTCATTCATTGACTCAATAATTCGTGTAAGTTTAATTTTGCTGTTGTTCTGTTCTTGGCTTTTAGCAGCACTAGACTTTTCTCATGTTTCCCTCTAGCATCCAGAATCAAGAGCCATGTAAGGCAGAGTTTGTTGAGCTGGTATCCGTCTGGACCCCTCCATACAGCCCATTCACTTTCCTTCATCTGCTCCTTCCCCTCCTACTGCAGTGGGACATAGCAATCCCTGGGGGAGCAATGAGTGGATGCTGAAACGTCACAGTGAGCTAGGAGGGTTTGTTTGGGAGGACGGGGCACAATTCCTGTGTAACCTTTAACTAAAGTGTCTTTCAGCATTTCTTTTTTCACATCTCTAGCATCTGGGAGATGGTGCTGTGGTAGTCCCCAGTACAGTAAGTCTATCGGGACAGAGGGGTATGATGCATCTGTTATTTAACAAGGGATTTTTGTCTTTCTGTGGTTTTTCAGGAGAAACAAACATTTTATAAAGTCCCACGTTTCACACTTTTAAGGTCACACTTTATATTTAGGGTCCATTCATAAATGCTTAATAGCTGTTTAAATCAAGTGTTTTATATTGTTATTGACCTGTTGGTCTCTAGAGTTGTTACTTGCAATCAGTAACACTCTATTAATGTGTTTATAACCATCTGTAGCACACATTACTTATGTTTATAACATGCTTATAACAGCTATCATTTATTAATGCTTTGTCTTGTTTCCAGGTATAAATACTTTATAAAGTGTAAACCATTTTAATACAATTTTATGTTTTTGTTTTGTGTCTTTCACTTCAGCCCTGGGGATTGGGGTGTTGCAGGGAATGGGACCATGGAGAGCCGACAGAAGATGAATACCAACCCAGCTGCTCTTAGGCTTCCCTAGGAAGCAGGATGACTGCAAGAAGAGGAATCCCAGCTAGGCAAGGTAGGGGCAGCATCCCTCCTAGCATGGAGCTAATGTCATTGTGGTCATAGCCTTTTGGTATAAGTTGATTTCACAGCCAAATTTATTAATGTGCTTTACACCCATAAACCTTCAGGACTATGGTTGATATGTGTACATGAAGGGGGTACAAGACACCTTCACCTGAAGAATGAAAAAATTAACCCTCAGAATATAAAAAATGGCAAGGCCATCACTTTGATAAGTCTCATGTTACTGGCACCATCACAAACAGTGTCAGGTTCTGCCTCGGATAATCAGGTCTAGTGGTTGAAGTGTGCGTTACAGCTAGTTATAGAGTTGGGCCTGAGCCAAGAGTGGCTCTGGAATCGAGGTCTGGGGACAGACTGGCGTCAAAATGGACCTCAGAATCCATAGCCAAACCAGAATCAGAACTGTAGCCAGAGTCCAAAGCAGGGTGGTCAGAGTCCACAGACAAGCCAAGTTGATACTGAAGCTGGAGTCCAGATACAGGCCAAAGGTTGAATCTGGATAGTCAGCCTGAGAGTTGGGGGTGAGGGGGAGGGAAGATCAGGAGGCAAAGGCAAGGCTAGAGCGGATCAGTGACGAGGCTGGAGTGAGGCTAGAGCAAGACAAGGATGATACTGGGGCAGGGTTTAGGCAAGGAGCAGGAGCCAGAGCAGGAGCAGGCTGGGAGTCGCTGGATTCTGGTGCACCACGAGGTTTCCTGGTGGGGTGGTGCTGTTGCTCAGACTGATCTACCCTCAGGGGTAGGTTGTTGCTGAATGCCTGAGGGCTGACACACGGCAGGCTCTATTGACTCACCGCAGCACCTGTTAAGACTCTGGGGGTGGGCAGGCGCAAGCCACTGGACCCAGGCGTCAAAAGACTGACTCACCACAGCAGCAGAGTGAGCAGCCCTGTTTTGGCTGCAAGTTTGCCTCTCACGTGGAGCCAATGGTATCAGGGGAAGTGGCTGGCCCATGAGCTCAGTAATGGGACATGTGCCCTTTTATCCCCAAGATCACTGTTTCAAATACAGCCCACACATTTAGGTGCTGGTTCAACAAGGCGCCTAACTTTAAATAACCGAGTGTTCCCACTGAAGGCCATGGGACTACTCACATGGTTAGAGTTAGGCACGTCCTTAAGTACCTTGCTGAACCAGGGCCATAGTGACAAAGTTATTGACATCCGACAGCTGCCTGGCAGCCTATCTGAAATGAGCTGATGGTTTCAGTATATTGTCTAATGAAGAGCTATCCGTTCCCACCACAAAAATCACCATCAGGCTGGCCCTACTATTTAACAGCCAACTCAGCAGTCTCGGTTGACAGGCTGAGGATGGAATGGGTATGGAGACGGAAGGAACCTCTCACCTCTAAAGGTCTTCCCTCCAATTTAGGGTTAAGGTGCATTGGCAAGGCATTGTTAGGAAGCTTGGACTGCTACCGTTCATGCGGTACCTGCTTTATGGAAAGACAAACAGGAACAGCACTGTGAATCTGGCACCTTTGATTAGCACTAAATTTACTTCAGAAGACAAAGATAAATCACTAAGTGTGGTCATATCAGATTTACAGTTGTGTAACAAAGCACTGTTTGGCTCATTACGTTTGAATTAATAGCTGGATGTTTCAAGGAGAAGTAAAATCAGCTTGCATTTCCAGCAAAGGACAGCAGATCAGATAAGCACAGTCCTTTACTCGAACCACTGGATGTACCAATTCTGACGGGTGTAATTTTCTATTTTAAACTCAAAAAATGAGCTCCGGCATTCTCGTTCTGAATACATTCCCACAAAACAACACCAACACTTAACTTTCGTCACAGGTAAGCCTCAGCATTAAGAATCTACACTACAGTGTGACATTTCATCTCTCTTACCCTGACAGGTAAATGTGTAAGAAAGTTGGGAAAGATATTAGAAGTGCCAAAGTTAACAAGTGGCAGGATATTATCATATATATATATATATATATATAAAAGCTATAAAAGCTTATGTTAGTGAGCACATACTGCAGAATTAAAATGCCATTTTGGAAGCCAAGGTTGAGAAACATGCAGCTTTCTTTTATTGCAATGACAGCTGTTAGAGCTTGAGTCAAAGCCCATTGAATTCGACAGGAGTGTTTCCAATTACTTCAATGGTCTTTGGCTTAGCCCCTTAATGGTAAAAGGGTGCCGTTTCCCTGGTCATTATAACAGAGGATTGCACAGCAGAACAGGTTTCACAGTACAACATCCTCTACTCAAAGAGAAAATCTTCCATTAATGGTCTCAGAGCTCGGCAATCCATCAATATTTTTGTCTCATAAATGTGGTCCTCATAAAGCCTTAGCTTTATTCCTAGCAGCAACTGTAGCACAAAGAATATCTTTTGGGGATTACTGAATTAATCTCAATTTAGAGTGTGGTGGTACAGTAATATTATTGTATCACATTATGCAGCATGGCGCATGCAAGAAAAGCAAAGCCTTTCTGGAGAAACTGAATTCCCGCTCTCCTCAGTTCTTCCCTTAACGCCCATATAGGCATGCGATAGTATGCAGTAAATTTGGCCCCACTGCACAGCTCTGTTCGATGGAGCTCTGCCAATGTAAAGAGGGTGCCAAGCTCGAGTCACTCAGAGGCTCTTCCCTGTCAGGCTTTCCTGCCCTAAGAAGAGCAGGACAAAGCTGTGGAACTATTTCTGCTGTCACAGGGCACTGCACCCCTTTGCAGCTGACAGAAGAATTTGTAGTTCCAAATAAGCCTTTTAGACAGTCATTTGAACTTCAGAGATCTTTCCCTCTGAAATTCTAAAGCTCTACATAGATGTTTCCTCCAACTCAAAAGCGAACGTTGACTGTGTTGTGACCAACAAATTTTAGAGCAAAAGGCATCACTGCTTCTTGAATGTACTGGAAATGTAGATACTATAGCCTGAAGCAAAAGTTCCCTCATGCTTAGACACTACTGTTCAAGTGGGAATATTTTCGCATTATTGCCATTCAAAAACTGCAGTATTCATCATTCAATTGAGCCTGGCAGGATTGTGTTTCCACTGAAGACAATGAGAATTTTGCCAGTAAGAGTGGGCTGTATAGCTATCATAGCTGAATAAAATACGCATTTGGTTATTTGCATGTTTAGACATAAACATGACTCACACGGCAAAGAAAAATTCACATACAGATCAGACACCTTCAGTGCTTCATCTAGGGTAAGCCTCGGTCTCTTTATTCAAACCTTCTATGTAAAAGACAACACAATAAAACAAATTTACAGAACATTTGGCAGCGATAGCCACAGTGAAGTAACTTACAGCAGTTATTCCATAACATTTTATTTTATTCATTTGACAAAGAAAAGAAGAAACTATCATAGTCTAGCCTGGCCTGTCTAATCCTGATTAGTAGACATTTGGAAACAATTTCTTGTGAAAAGCTTTAAAGACTATCAGCAGAGTCAACTTGGTGGCATTTTAAGGGGTCTGCAAATGCTTGAAATGGCTCCCAACTGCCATGAAATAGGCCCGTGGCACTCTGACCTCATAGGTTAACCCACAGGCAGGCAAATATTTGGCTTCTCTCCTTTCTGGCAGGAACAGAAACATTTCTATCTGTCTTGCCTTCCTTCTTGTCTCGTTTATGGATGCACAAAGGGAAGTAACTGCACTGTGACCAAGGAGGGGCGGAGAGCTCCTATGGGGGCCATACCTGTTCTAACAACAAGAACTGGAGATACCGGTACTGCTATTTCCTGCAATAAGTAACCAATTAAAAGGAACTACTGCTACGGCGTTCCTTAGAATCTGGTGGAAAAGACAAAGACAGCTGCTCTGCTATTACATGGCTGACATTTATTCGGAGTTAGAAAGACACCAATATACCTGGCAAACAAAGGGTTTAGGAACAAGCACAGGAAGAAACTGACTGAGAAAACAGGTCCCAAACGGTGTGTTCAGTATCGTGGTGGTGGGAATTTAGTGGAGAAACACAACTCTTGTTGAAGTGCTGAAGATATATCCTTAGGTATCGTTCAGGTTGGAGCTAAGGCCTTCAAGCTCATGGCTAAATTCAGCTTTCACATACACCCCTGCAAATCCACTGATATCAATGGGGAGGCATGGCTATCAGGAAGAGCTGAATTTTTCCTTTAGTGGCTACCAAGGCTTTTTTTTGGGGGTGGGGGTGTGGGGGGGAAATCCAGTACATTATATTCCATTACTCCTTTCCACATAAGCAAAGGCAGCTGCTCAAATGACTTCAGCCAATTCTAAAAGTGTTCAGCTGTGCCTCTAAAGAAAGCCTGTGGTCTGGGGTTGGAAAGAAACAAAGTGGGGTCAAGCAGAGGACATGTCAAGTGTTTCTGTGCACTGTGGCTAATCCAATATCATATGGTAGATTTACAGTTTAGTTTGGATCACAGGCTCCATAGCACGAATGTGAACACTGGGCAGGCAGAACCAAGAAAGAGGAAGCTCCCTGCTGGAGTTGTCTTCGTGAAACTTGATGTTCAGGTAAAAATCGCCTGTATAGAGAAAGAGCAGGGCTCCAAAGCACACAGAATTTTTGGTTGGTTTCACCTGAAAAAGAAAGGGTGGAAGTTAGCTGAATAAAACAAATGTGGTAAATAATAATAAATTATAGTAATACTTTGCCATTCTATAACTTTACCATCTAAGGACCCCAACGTGCTCTAGAAATATTTGTGAACTAAACCTCACAAATCCCCTTCACCTCCACCCTAAGGAAGTAAATGTGCTATCCCCTTTTTACTGATGGTGACACTGATGTAATGAGAATGAAGTTAAATGAGTTTTCCCCAAGCCCTGCAGCATGTCTCTGGCAGAGGTCTGACTAGAACACAGATCGTTTGAATCTACCAGAACGTAGCTGTCTTTGGCAGGAGCCATCAGAGGCTTCCTGAACACCCAGGAACATCTAACTCTTGACCCTTATTTAGCAACTTGTGTATTAAAAGACAGGTTCTTAGAATTTCACACCTATTAAACACCTCGCTAAACACCATTTAAC